AATATTGTGTTGATTTTTGCTGACTTCAGGTTTGTTGTTTTTTTGTTATTGATGGATATTTGTGATGTGATGTTAAACGCTCATCTTTCTACATTTGCCTATTGTCTCGCCTTTCTTGAGGTTTGTGTGTCAAGTGCTGAAGTCATTGAATTTATTGGCTAAATGAGGCATTTTGCATTCAGTGAGTGAATAACTTTGAATTGACAATACAAAGTAGTATTACTTAAATCAATTTTTTGAGAAGCTAACAATCTGAATATATCAGGTTAAATTTGTAGGGGGGGGGGGGTCCCTTCCAGTGTAACAAATACACTAGCAGCAGAATACAAAAAGTGACTGAAAACACCTAGAAACCATATAGCACTGCCTTGGCAACCAGCTACAACACCATAGCAGTGCCTTAATGTGTGGTCACATTAACCATTGTTTGGCCAATTTCCATAGTCATTTCAATAGGAAGTAGTGCGATCTGGAATTTTGCATGAGGGCGAAATATTTTCCCACACAGATTTTGCATCGGATACATTGGGTCACGCGAATTCACCACATTGACCAGCAAACAGCTGCTTGGTTTGAAAGTGACTTCTGTGTGAACTGTGCTTCATATACAGTGCTACACTACTGACATTAGACAAAGGGCCTTTTTCGAATTTTTGCTAATATGCCCGCACATTTACTGACCAACCCAGAACACATTAGCAACAGCCTAGTAATGCTTTTGCAACTAATCACAACACTCAGAATGCCCTAACAATGCATATCAACACCCTTGTGGCCGTTGAGATGTTGTTCAGATCAATTAAATGCCTAGTTGCCATAGTTTCCTCATGTGAACCTTCTCATCTGTCTGTCTGTGTTTTATGTGTTCACCGGAAACATTAGCCAGAATCTCCAACCATTGACAAATGCGGCAGTGACGGCCATAAGAGACATCAGATGTGTTCCCGAGTCCAAGGTTTGAGTCAAGTGTGCATGAATGCTTTGGCCTCGAGTTTTAAGTGGTGTGGATGAGGACATGTCCCTGAGACCGAGGCCGTTCTGAGCAGCTGCAGGTCAGGACAGGGGGGCTTTAATCAGGCCGCGGGGCAGCAGCACCTCCACGATCTGCCCCCACAGCCCTTTGATCCCACACTCTCATCTGATTCAATTATCCCTATCCACCTGTTAACGGCCAGGCGCCAATCACAATAGCTGGCCCTCATCTGACAGCTCAAAGGGAAGGTAGACTGTGTGTGTGTGTGTGTGTGTGTAGTATGCATGCAGTCCCACAGATTTAGCTGCTGTGCCCTTTTAGATCTGTTCTTTGATGTAGTGTGCAAACAAAGAGCCATATATACAGTATGTGTATATATTGTACCCTTTCAGCCCCCATCTGGTTAGCATGCTGCACTACAGCTCATGCCAATGGTTGCATCCCAGTTTACATATTATCTGGATAATATGCTGAAGATAGTTTGTCAGATGAATGGAGGATATACTGTTTTCTTAAGGCAGCGTTCCACTAGCCGATTTTTCAGCTGATTTCCAGTCGTAAGGTTAATTTATATCGTTGTTACAAAATGCTGTCTCTATTTTTTTTTTATCTGTATTTTTGTAAATCTCTCTCTTTCTCTCTGTCTCTACTGAACATATTCTATATATTGAGCTCTGAAGGAATAAACATACAGTCATATGCATTTATGGGATGAAAAGGTGAATTGCATCAGAATTCAGTTCATTACATATTTTTGCATGGTGCTCCTGTTTTTATTTCGGTTAGCTTCATGTGAGAGGAAATGTGCCGAAGAAGTAATAATGAATTTTAAGGTTGTAATTTGGCATGGTAATGCTTATATGCAAATGGAATCTGTACACTTCAAGATTTTGACACATTAGTGTGTCAATGCTGCTGTATTGTTTTATTGCACACTTAAAAGAATGCACTTTCTCGTCCACAGTGATGTGGATATACTTTAGTAAATATTACGATACAACTATCATTGCTTTAAGCATATAAATAATTGTAGGCCGTGCATTTAACTATGTGATTGACAACAAAATAAAAACACTGGAGAGCTTTTAAAACTGCATTCTGATGTATATTTTAGGCTAGAGCTTAATGGTAAGTCCAAACGAAACCACAGCAAAAAGAAAATAGAAAAAAGAGGGTGTATGTGTCTCCAAATACTTGTCGAGACTTTCATATAGTCATCATCACATCCTCCCTCTCTTCATCATTTGACTAACGGGGATTAGTTTAATTAGTTGAGATTTGCGTTAAGCATTCATAATTAACTCGAGAACACGTTCTTAATTTGCCAATGAAACAAATGTGTCATGGCTGTCGAAATCTGCGACATCTAGTCAGACGAGTTTCAGCCTTTGAAGTTGTCGTTGGTGGCCTCAGCGGAGCTGATCAAACTGGAATTATCTGGGCAAAGAAAGAGATCATAAATATCAGTGAACTGGAAATGATATACTGTATAATAAATGCCCCCAACAGGCATGAGTGTGTGTGTCAAGTACTAGGAACCATGGACCATATGTGTTTTAGTTGTGTTAAAGATGATGCAATTTTTCCATCATAAAGATCATAAATATCAGTGAACTGGAAATGATATACTGTATAATAAATGCCCCCAACAGGCATGAGTGTGTGTGTCAAGTACTAGGAACCATGGACCATATGTGTTTTAGTTGTGTTAAAGATGATGCAATTTTTCCATCATATGTATAAGAGAGGCTTTTTTAATGCATCCCTGCATGCCTGTGTATGTGCTAATGGAGACCCAGGCAACATGGAAAAGACTGAAGCATCTAGACTGTTGTGCGCATTGATTTTGAAACGTTTGTATACAGTAGGTACTTGTATGATCTAGTGTAAGGGAGCTAACATTGATACAAGTTAAAGTTTGGCTCTTGTCCCACCTGTGGGACGCTTGGCGCTCTTTTTACCCCCATCACATATTTTATTAATCATCGTAAATTATATATCAACCTCAAAATTCATCCTGTGAAAACTATTTTGAAATCGAACATTGCGTTACCATGGAAATGGTACTTTAAATCTTTTTGCCGTCTCCTCCCCCTTAGGGGGCGGTGTCAAGTGTCATATTACAAAATGTGAGTTTGGGTGTCACCCGGTGGCTGTTTGAAGTATAACGGCCTAAATAAAATTTCACAGGATTCTAAATTTTTTTAACCCTCTGAGGTCGATTAACGCGGATACGCGTTTTGAGGCATCTTCTCCTGATCACACCGAAAATAACTTAAATTACACTTTCAGTTTTGATCTTACAGATAAGAGCAATACATCAATCGAATCTGTAAAGGGTCTACTTTTATTTGTATACACACATAATAACAACAGAACTTTGTGCATTTATAAAATAAAGAAAACAAACAGGGTGTGCAGTCTGCCGCCTTGGTCTGCGTGATCTTTATTTAGAGACGCGTCATTAAAATGAACTGTAACTCAGCAAATACTCAACAAAGAGACATGAGAGATATATCTATAGAAAGCTTGACATGTCTACTTTTAAACTAAGCAAGTCTTATCGAAAGCAAATATTCTGTGATAAAGTAATCCATATGAAACCAACGCGATGTCCAGTTTTTCACCTCTCCCTTCATTATCTCTAATGCGACCACGCCCACGCGCTGAGCGCTATTGATATTATAATCATCCACGTGAAGCGCGCGGCGTGTAAACGCCCACATCACAGCAAGACCTCAAGCTGTACTGTTCGCGTCGCGCTGAGAGGAATAAGACAGAATTCACCTCAAGAAGCTTTGGATTACCTCAGGAAAAAACATGAGTAAGTATTTTTTATTAACCTACTTGTATTAGTTTTCACATAACTTGTACACATTTTACTAGTTAGACTTTCTCCAAACTATAATTCCTGACTAAATGTATAATCAAGTGAAACATTATGAAGTTTCATTCACAGCATCTAAATGTCACGATGCCAGGATGTTTTTTTATGTTCTATAACAGACAGAAATATGATATAAAAGTAATATGAGTTATAATGTCACTAGCCTAATGTCAGTAACAGTGAACTGGAAATGATATACTGTATAATAAATGCCCCCAACAGGCATGAGTGTGTGTGTCAAGTACTAGGAACCATGGATCGTATGTGTTTTAGTTGTGTTAAAGATGATGCAATTTTTCCATCATAAGTATAAGAGAGGCTTTTTTAATGCATTTCCCTGCATGCCTGTGTATGTGCTAATGGAGACCCAGGCAACATGGAAAAGACTGAAGCATCTAGACTGTTGTGCGCATTGATTTTGAAACGTTTGTATACAGTAGGTACTTGTATGATCTAGTGTAAGGGAGCTAACATTGATACAAGTTAAAGTTTGGCTCTTGTCCCACCTGTGGGACGCTTGGCGCTCTTTTTACCCCCATCACATATTTTATTAATCATCGTAAATTATATATCAACCTCAAAATTCATCCTGTGAAAACTATTTTGAAATCGAACATTGCGTTACCATGGAAATGGTACTTTAAATCTTTTTGCCGTCTCCTCCCCCTTAGGGGGCGGTGTCAAGTGTCATATTACAAAATGTGAGTTTGGGTGTCACCCGGTGGCTGTTTGAAGTATAACGGCCTAAATAAAATTTCACAGGATTCTAAATTTTTTTAATATCAACTTCAAATTTGGAACATAGCTTATTTAGACACAAGGCTTTAATTATATAGCAATTTTAGAGTAAAACCTTTTATATAAAACAGAAAAAATATAGTACAGTACATTTTCTTTACAGTAAATTTAAACTTCTATAACTTTTTGATACTTTCATATTTTGAAATGATTCCACTTCTGCAATAATTTGCTGATTGTCTTCTTTAAAAAGAGTCCAACCTTTGGTCAAAAGCGTTCATGAATTATAACAATTTAAGTTTGGATAATGCACTCTCACGTCTATGTTCAAACATGGGGGGGGTGACAGTTGAAGGGTTAAAAAGGATGGGAGAGTGATCTGAAGTCTTTTCTCTTCCACAGGAAGAGGAGTTTGTTCAGCGATAAGTCACCAACCAGACCGCTGTCCTCAAGTCCCGTCAAACGCGACATCAAGGATGATGTCAAGATGGTGAGAACTTAAAACTGTCATAAATTCAACTTATCCAAGTTGACTTATCCAGTTTCATGAATAAAGCTTTGAAAACAGCCTGACCTTAAGGCCACGACCACAATACTTCTCCTCACAGGTGTATATATTGAGTTATTTCACCAGTTGGCCACATAGAATCAACATGACCTTTCTTGGGTTAAAAACTTAACACAGCTTCTGCACAAGTTCTTATAGCTTTGCATTATAATCAGGAACGTTCCCATGTGTCCCAGTTTTTATCTGGCGTTTGGGTTCAGACACCTTCCTGTAATGTGAGTTATTTGCTTCCCACAGTCCTATTAAGCTTCAGCAGTATCCATGCATTTCATTAGAATTGAGCTTAATTGGACACTTCCTTGCTTCTCTTTCCTGACGAGGCAAAGCTGAACTCAGGAAAGGGAATTTGGAACAACAGTTCCCTGGAAACATTCAAATTACATAGAGCTCTTAAAGAGCTGGATTTTCCTGACAGAACAGCAGCCCCTGAAAACAAAGAGGGGCGGTATGTCATGTGACGATCCGCAGGAATTTACTGCATGTGAAGGGAAAAGCAGAAATAATGTGGAAAAGTCAAACATCTGGTGTGCCATGAGAAGAGTATGTCTGTATCTCCAGCCTTCTCTGTTACTTGATCTCTCTATCACTCACTCTCTCTTTCTTATATCAAAAATCTAAAAAAAAAAAAAAAATTCTTTAAATTTCTATAAAAAATTTATAGTTTGTCAATAGTTTTATATTGACAAACAGTTATAGTGTACAAATATAGTTTTTTTTTTAACTGAACTTTAGTTTTTAGAACAATTTTATGTTTCTCTCTCATGATTTATGCAGTATATTTCATAGCTCATGATAAATATTCAAAATCTTGAAAAAAAGTATAATAATGTGATTTGATGTTTATGGGCAAAATCTGTTCTTTGCTGTGCACCCAAATGATAAAAAAGAATTGTAAAAGCTGTTGCAAAAGTTATGTTATGCTATATATGTTACTTATTGTAGATTGTTATATTATAATGTTACTATAATGTAATTATCATTGTTTTTAGAGTGTTTTTAGATTGGGATTTCATAATCTCTGCTCTTGTCTAGCAGATTTTACAGTCTCTTTAGTTTAACCCATTGTGGTGGATAACTCAGAATTCCCAGAGCGCGCTCCATCCCTGGACATGGTTTGTCGTCTCTTTGTTCCTCACTGTCTGTTTCTCCTCCAGGCGGAGGCACACAGGAGGCCGCCCATCTCCTCTGACGATAGTGACTTTGAGGCTCGCTTCAACAGCTGGAAGCTGTTTTACCTGGGGGTAAAGTTGGATGTTTCACTTCAACATGTATTTTAATATCTGACAGTTTGTTTCTATGACTGTGACCATTTCATGTGAACTGAGGCAAGAAAGAGTTGATCTGGACTGTCATGGAGACCTTGAATGATCATTTTAGTAATGAGGACAACAGAAACACAATATGACTAATGCTGTTCCTGTTCACGAAACGGTGAACAGTCGTTCCGCTTTAGCGTGCAGTATTCAAAAACCTGTATCAGTGCTATTTTTCACTTACAGTCTCAGTAAAGTACACCAGATGCAGTGTTTTCCAGAAAATAAGTTGCACTATGCCAACATTCCATTGTTGAAAGTCATTTTATTGAGAAATAATGTAAAATACTAGTAAATAAAACGAGACATTTATAAACATGACATGTACAGTATTTTAGTTTTCCCCACTCCACAACAAATCCTTTAAATTTAACAGTATTCAGAACTGAACCGGAATGAAAAATGTTAGTATGAAACAAATTAATTATTCATTGTAAAAATGTATTATAAACGTCAAGCCTATATATATATATATATGTCATATGTCATATTGTAATAAGTTCTAGCTTGTTTCAGATTATGGAGAGAAAAAACCACACAATTTATATTATGGAAAATATGTGTAAAAAAAAACCGCTTATCAGTGGCCATAATTCATTCTTAGCAATTGTCCCCCTCAGTATCCTGGGTTTCAATTCTTGGCTAAACATTAAAAAAAAGAATTGCATTGTTTGCTGTGGATGACTACACCATGTGGGAGGAAAAATGTGCTGCAATGATTGCACTGGCATGCAGAGTCCTTCGAATCAAAACGTTTGAAGCTTTATAGGACTGTGTTGGGCTCTAGATTTACTCAATAGCCACTTATGACTTCTCCACAGATTGCGAAACCGTCCGGCTACTTGTTTCATCACAAAGTTTATGCAGAAAAACAAGAGTTTGAACTTTGCTCTTATCAGAGTGTGGCGTGTTGAGATAAGTGCGTGCTCTTTCGGGCAGGTTTTCAGTGGCTCCGGGCCCCTGTTCTGTGGGCACTGATGCTGGACTAATCAACAGCTGCGTCATGTGTGGACGTGAAGCGCAGCACTGCTTCGTTCTGCCTGGAAACTGCTGCGATAACACACTGCTGCCGTCCGGCGCCGTGGCATGATAATTAATTTAGAGTTCAGAGCCACATCACACTCACACTGTGTTTGAGAAGTGAGTCCATTGAAGAATTTTGACTGGGTCACTGTGACTCGTAATTTTATTTAAATTCTGTGCTACTAATGTCACCAAAATGAAATTGTGAAAATAAGGACTGTTTAAAAATATTTCCCCGGACAATTCCAATCTTCCCATAGTAATGCCTTGAGCCAGAACTTACCGTCAAGCAGTCTGCACGCTTCACAAGCAATGGCTTACTTATCATTACTCTGTTGGCTTACAGTTGGCTTTTTCACACCATGTGTAGATTTTTGAAACGTGATTTTGAAATTAAACACCCTACAAATCTCTTCAGGCACAGTGTTTGTTGATGTAGATACAGTATATCAACAATCATACTGTATATTACAACATATATTATGTCCGCCTTGGAAGTTTGCCCCCTACTGGACCTACTGGAGCTTGGACCTGAGCTGAGATGTTGAAGTTTCCGTAAATGTCCATATAACCAAAAATGAGTTGTGTATTATGACACAAAGATAGCTGGCTACCAAGTGACATAAAAATAACGATTCAAAACAAACAAATAAATAAATGGAGGTTCTGCTGTACCAATAGAAGTAATTGCTCCAAAAAAGGAAATTGAAAAATGTTCAATCAACCAGCTTAAAAAAAATTGGCAACTTTTTGGACTGGCCCTTTTTTGTGTGCGTGATTTGTGTCTGTTTGTTATATTAAACTGTGTACAGGGTTTCAGAAGTATTTATTTATTTGAGATTTGGTTTGCTTGCTTGTTTGTTTTTCCTATTCTGTTTTGCATTATGGTAAAGTATTTGAGGGGGTTATGTGCCTATTTGTCATGAAAATAAGAAAAAAAATGATCTGAGTACTATGATAAGACAGATATTTTGATTATTATAGTTTTTTTTTTTTCCTGTGCAGTAAAAGTGAAATTGTGAGCTTTTATTATATGAATAATGTTTCAGTCATGGTCTGTCTCATTATGTGATTTGTCGCCTACAGTCTCATCAGAGTGGACAGAGTGTGTCCTGGACAAATTCCCATTGCTTACAGATTATGAGTTATGTTGACAAAAGACAAACCCACTGGAGGGAAAAAATCGTTTTCAAAAAGAAACGGAAATGGCCTCGCTGCAGACAATGCCTCAGTGGGCTGAGGCCTGATCTCTGTAAACACAACCAGTGTAGAGAAGATACTGTATTTAAGTGGCACTCTTTGAAGTCATTCCACATTGTTTATGACAAATAAAAGGAGGTCAGATGTGTACAGGAGGTGTTTGGGACTTACCAGAAGAGGAGGAGAATAAGGTTGTGTTGTATTGTCTTATTTTTTACAGATAGAAAACCCCAGATATCTGCGTGAGAACCCTATCCCTCTGTCCCCAGTAAGTGCTGACGGCTCCTAGCACCACTGATCTCCATACTTGCATTTACAGTTAAATAACAATTCCAAGTAACACTTTAGGGACCAATTCTCACTATTAACTAGTTGTTTATTAGCATGCATATTGACTGTTTATTAGTTCTTATAAAGTACATATCAATGTCTTATTGTGCATGACCATATTTTAGATCCCTTAATGCAACCTATACCTAAATTTAACAACTACCTTACTAACTATTAATAAGCAGCAAATTAGCAGTTTGTTGAGCCAAAAGTTGTTGTTAATAGTGAGAATTGGTCCCCAAACTAAAGTGTGACCCAATTTCAATGAAAACATGATGTAAAACAAAGAAACAAATTATGAGAAACAGAACAAACTACAAAAGACACTAATTAAGTCATCAGTGCTTGAAACTTTTAAGGTCTCTAACAGTAGTTGTAAGAATTCAAGAAAGATTCAGAAAAAAAAAATAATAAAAAATCTAAAGTGGTCAAATATATAATAACATGACTTAATTATTGTGTGCTGGAAAATAAACTGCAAATACAATGGCCAACTTAACATTTAAGTTCTGGCCATTGAACAATGTCATTAGTCTTTGACTACTGTTGTTCAAATATGATTAGTAATTATTAGTGTTATAGTATTATTTATTAAGTTCTTCGTTCAGATATTTGGTGCTACCAGTGCTGTAGAACAACTGTTATTATAACATGTTTTTATTAGTAGTATGCACATTTTATTTGTCTCTTTTGTATTAATAGATTTACAACAAATCAAGTCTTGGAAAAACAGCATCCTTTGTGATGAGGCCACCCCAGTGAAAGCTGATAAGGAGGTAGGGACATGATGTTCTCCCAAAGTGCTTGAAATGTGCTCAAATTGCTTTCAAAAGGGTGCAGACCCCTTAAAGAAATAGCTGACTCAAAAATGACATTTGAAATTTGCAGTGAATAATGACTTGGACACTTTGCATGCAAAAGAACAGAACAAAGATTCTGCTAAACATCTTCATTTCTTCACAGAAGAAAGACATCCCTACGGGTTTGGAAAGACATGATTAAATGAAGACACGAGTTTCACTTTTCAGTGAACTGAGCATTTAACCAATGATGGTTTTCATCAGTGCTGCTGTATTTGTCATCCAGCACGCTTTTCCACTTCTTAAGTAAATGCTCTGTGATGGCTGGTTGCTTTTAATAAACTCAAGAAAGCAATGTTGGATGACAGCTTCACACACCTAACCAAAGCCAGCCTCTCTGAGTTTCGCTTGTTTAGGGACTCCAACTTCTCCTACGAGCTTTACAAACGCTGTTTGTGATGACAGCTTCTCCCTGTATGTGGGTTTAAGCTGAAAATCCCATAGAACAAGCTTCTCTTTGATGTCATTTGACTGGTATTGTTGAATATACTGAGCGTGACCTGCTGTAATCACACTTCCTCTGGGAAGAGCAGCAGTGCTCAATTAGGTCAACTTCAGTCACACAGCATCATCAGCCTTCGTCTTCACTAGAATACAGCCATTTCATGAACCGCTGAATAGTCTTTTGAAACAGTCTTTGAGTCTCCAGGGCTGCCATTTGAAAGATAAAGCCGCCACATTAACTCCACACACTTTTAAGCGAAGAGATTCTGAGATTAGCAGAAACATTGTTTTACTGTAAGCAGGGTAAATAATCTCTGCGCCGGGCTGTGGAGCTTGGTAATTAATAACAGGTGGCAGCAATGGCAGGCCAAGAGGTTTGCTTGAGTTAACATCAAGGCTGAAGAAACGTTCCCAGGTAATGGGGTGAAGGGTAAGTCAAACGTTCCTCAGGAGCTGCTAGGCTTTGATGAAGGGAAATGGTGCATGTGTTGCCCTTCGTTGCCTCTGATTGAAATGACTGTGGAGCTGAGGGCAGAGAAAAACAAAGCTTGTACGAGTTTTAGTATTCATCACCGGCACTTCTCTTGCTGTGTGTTCTTGGCATTGTGCCTCGCTATCAGTGTTTACTCTTTGAATGAGTGAGGCATTTATATAGCGCTTTTTTGTATATTGCTGTACACCCAAAGCGCTTTACAATCATATGAGGGGGTCTCTCCTCAACCACCACCAGTGTGCAGCATCCACCTGGATGATTCGACAGCAGCCACAGTACAACGGCGCCAGTGCGCTCACCACACACCAGCTACAGGTGGAGAGGAGAGAGAGATAGAGCCAACTCAGTGGATGGGGATTATTAGGAGACCATGACTGACAAGGGCCAGTGGAGGGAATTTGGCCAGGACACCGGAGATACACCCCTACTCTTTATGAGAAGTGCCATGGGATTTTTAATGACCACAGAGAGTCAGGACCTCGGTTTAATGTCTCATCCGAAGGATGGTACTTTTTGACAGTATAGTGTCCCCGTCACTACACTAGGGCATTAGGACCATGGGTGAGCACTCCCTGCTGGCCTCACTAACACCTCTTCCAGTAGAAACCTAGTTTTCCCAGGAGGTCTCCCATCCAGGTACTGACCAGGCTCAACCCTGCTTGGCTTCAGTGTGCAACCAGTCTTGGGCTACATCATGATATGGCTGCAGATATATAGTATATATCGATATATATCTCGATGAGCCAAAACATTATGACCACCTGCCTGATATCTCCTCAACCACCACCAGTGTGCAGCATCCACCTGGATGATTCGACAGCAGCCACAGTACAACGGCGCCAGTGCGCTCACCACACACCAGCTACAGGTGGAGAGGAGAGAGAGATAGAGCCAACTCAGTGGATGGGGATTATTAGGAGACCATGACTGACAAGGGCCAGTGGAGGGAATTTGGCCAGGACACCGGAGATACACCCCTACTCTTTATGAGAAGTGCCATGGGATTTTTAATGACCACAGAGAGTCAGGACCTCGGTTTAATGTCTCATCCGAAGGATGGTACTTTTTGACAGTATAGTGTCCCCGTCACTACACTAGGGCATTAGGACCATGGGTGAGCACTCCCTGCTGGCCTCACTAACACCTCTTCCAGTAGAAACCTAGTTTTCCCAGGAGGTCTCCCATCCAGGTACTGACCAGGCTCAACCCTGCTTGGCTTCAGTGTGCAACCAGTCTTGGGCTACATCATGATATGGCTGCAGATATATAGTATATATCGATATATATCTCGATGAGCCAAAACATTATGACCACCTGCCTGATATGCTGCCAAAACAGCATCGACCCACTGAGGCATGGACTCTACAAGACCTCTGAAGGTGTTCTGTGGTATCTGGCACTAAGACATTAGCAGCAGATCCTTAAAGCCCTGTAGGTTGTGGGGTGAAGCTGCCATGGATCGATCTTATTGGTCCAGCACATTCCACAGATGCTCAAATGGATTGGGATCTTCATCACGTTCCTGAAACCATTCCTGAGCAATGTGTGCAGTGTGTGTGATTCTGCTGAAAGAGGCCACTTCCACCAGGGAACACCATTGTCATGGAGGGGTGTACCAGGTCTGCAACAATGTTTATGTAGGTAGCACATGTTAAATTTATGTCCACATGAATGGCCGGACCCAGGGTTTCCCAGCAGAACATTGCCCAGAGCATCACACTTCCTCCACCGGGTTGTCGTCGTCCCAGAGTGCATCCTGGTGCCATCACTTCTCCAGGTAAATGACCGTCCACCTGACGTAAAAGAAAACATGACTCATCGGACCAGACGACCTTCTTCCACTGGTCCAAGGTCCAGTTCTGACACTTGCGTGCCCTTTGTAGGTGATTTTAATGGTCACCAAAGGCACTCTGATCTGCGGCTATGCAGCCCCATAAGCAGAGTGTGATGCACTGTGTTGTGACACATTCCTCCCATAACCATTCATTAACATTTTGTGTGACTTGTGCCAGAGTAGACCTTCTGTTGACTCGGATCAGACAGGAGAGCCTTCACCCAAACCTTAATATTTGGCCTTGTCAGGAGTAGGGATATGCCGGTGTAAATTTTTCATGTTGCGATTAATTGCTAATGCTTTTATCACGGTATGCGGTATTATCACGATATTGAAATTTAGTAAAAAAAAAAGTGCTGTCATAATACAGTATAATAGGTTTAATAACTTTTTTCTTATAACAAAAATAACTGAACATTTAAATGCAATAAAGCAATACAGAAAAATGTATAAAGTTAAAATTTTTACACATATTAAAGTGCAAATTGAATGTGTAAAAGTTATTAATCTTTGTTTAAAAAATACAAGTCTTAGTTCATGTTAGCTCATTAAATAACACAGTTGCAACTTTCGATTTTAACAACCTGTTATTAAATATTGGAATACCTAAGATTAATGAATGTTCAGAAGAATTTTTCATTGGCAGTTTATGTTAACTAATGAATTAACTAATGTTAACTAATGAAGCCCTAATGTAAAGTGTGACCGAACAATAAATAATCAAAACCCTTTCAAACAATATCTAGGGAATGTTGTAGTCCAGATTAAAATGTAAAAAAAAGTTTGAAAATAAATAGCCTATTAAGTCTAAATATTTAAGTATTTGGCACTGTGATGAACATCATAGCAAATACACAAATCTGAATGGCTGTTTAAATCATTTAAACACAATTCAGAAACAGAAAGTAGTGCAGCTGCTTTGGTTACAGGGTTTCCGGGGTAACGGCTGCATTTAAATGAATTATTATTATTTCTGCAGTTATTATTATTTTCTGTTGTCAGAGAGTGAAAGTACGCTTTCATCCAGAGCGTCTCTCACATGTTCCGCCATGTGCTTCTCATCCGCGCTTATTTACATCAGAGTCTTATACGCGTCTATCACACAGCATACAGCGGTGTTGTGCATTTTGACCAGTTGATGGGAAAAGTATTCTAAAAATGCATTCAAAATTCTGAATAATTTGTAATATATAATTATTCACGGTATTTAGAAGTGCCCACGATTACAATATCGTGCATATTCATTACCGTGATATATCGCATTACCGAATACCGGCACAAGTCTAGTCAGGAGATGATCAACGATATTCACCTGATCTGTGACTGGTCATAATGTTTTGGCTCATCAGTGTATATATCATATATTTTACATTTCTAATTAAATGTGGAAAGTTCTGTTGGGCTTCTTTTGTAGCCATAGTCATTGTGCGACACCTACAAACATTCGCAACATTCAGATTGCCTCCATTGATACAGTTGACAAAAGGGCTCTAACCATTACAGGAAAACAATCCAGTCAGACTGAGTTTACGTACTCTTTTACTGGTAATAAAATCTGCTGCACATATTCATATTTTCAGATGGGAAATGACTCCCTATAGCTAATGCTGATCTATGCATAAAACCTGAGCCATGTTTTGATAGCCTAACACACCATATTTTTTCAAAGAAATCACCATTTGAGTGGTTTACTTTAGAGTTTTAATATTGAAAAAAGAACACAGCTGCTTTAAGATGGAGATAATATATTTCCTTATGAGGTAATGTGGTCTATTTTATTTATTTGACTGTCACAGATTGTTTATTTTGACACATTTCAGTTATGTTATTTTTCCTTCATAGAGCAAAGGCAGTGATTTGATTGAGATATCATCAGTGTGACTGTTCATCCAAACACTGAACATTCACCCAGATTTTGACTCTCAAAATAGCTGGAATCACAGGTTCAACCCGCAGTGTGGCGCTAAAACTTAGCAGACGTTTTGTGAAAATATTCCCTAAGGAAATGTGTGCAACCAACGCTGGGAAAAGAAAAGAGAGAACAGCTGCTCTCGTTCGCACCGTCTTCATCTCTCCTCCTCCCACCCTTCCATCTCTCCTGCTCTTCAAAAAACGCTGCGTCTCTGTGAATTTAACGCGAGTAAA